AACTATCCGTGTACGTTTGGACATTAAACTGGATTATCTCCTGCCAACTTCCTTTTCCGCCGTTTAATCGCAGAGATGACTGTACCTTTTTGTTTTGATAACTGCTAGCCATTCGATTAACACATACAAAGCAGACATAAGGTTCAAGGAGTCAAATTTTTGTTCTATATAATAAGACACTTTACATATGTACAAAATATGTCAAACTTTTATAGGAAGTAACTATCCTTACATACTTCCTTGAGAATACATCTTTAACACGAGCAGTTTGTTTATTGGGAAGACTCATACGAAAATATATGTAAGTACAGGGGGACCGCACCACACACAAACAAACCTACGTAAAGGACACAAATTATACAGACACCACAAACAACAAACGCAAATAATATATCTTTATATTTTGATTACTTAATTAAGACAATAGATCCGAGTTGCCTGATGTATAATGTATTGTATCTCAATTCCAATTATTAAAATGAAATGGGGTTTAACGTCCTGCTGTTCTGCTCCGAAGGGGGGGGGGATTTGGCCCGGAAAGCGGCACTACGGCCTACTCTTATATCGAATTCCAACTGTCAAGGGATCTTTTACGTGCTCGCCAATGTGTACACAGGGCCTCGGCTAATGCAGGGATAGAACACCCGACCTCCAGGGTAGCGAGCCAGCGTCTTACCCACTTCGCCGCCGTGACCCCTCCAATTATTAAAGTTTCTGCTAAAGTATATAGCTTGATAGTATCACCTACTCGTCTGAGCAATACAAATATTTGATCTACCGCATTCGATCGGAAAATGTACCGTTTTGGCTTGACCTCATGCCATCTGTAGAACATCTATGACATTTTGTAACCAACTAATCTGTGACTAGTGTTATTGTATGTTTTTGCATTCATGTAGCTAATAGCTTTATTTTCTGTGTCAGTTTGTAGCCACTGTAATATGATGGGTAGGGGGCTTGCTAACTACAAAGCGGGACCCGGATTCGAACCCAGTGCTGGCCGCGGAAACGTTCCGCGAGATTTTCCAGCCTGATTTGTGTCGTCAATGGTGTAGGAGGGCTCGGTAAGAAAATTAACCATGGTATACCATTGGCAGCACGTTAAATATCCTCTGAAAATTGGGATTCAAAACTAGAGTAGGCTGTAGTACCCCTGTTCAGGCAAATCTGACCCGACAGCACATTGCCTGACGTATTTCCGTCTCCTTTAGCCCCGTTGATTCAGAAAAGTAAAACGTTAGACCCCATTTCATTTCTTTTTGTCCCCAGCTCATTTGTGACAGTGGTTGTTTATTTTTAAGATTCATGTAGCTAACAGTTTTATTATCTTTGATAGTTTAGTTTCGGTTTTGCCACTTATCTGCACACTTTCATTACAAATATGTATTACCTGTGATGTTTTGTTATTTAAACAATGTTTTTCGCATTATGGATGAAATGTTGTGCTTGAACGTGTCCTTTATCGGGATGTTTCTTGGTCCAGGGCAAACTTTTAATGTCACATTTGAGTCAGTAAGAATGCTTATCTCTCAAACTTTATTACATTTAAACACGACCCAAAATTAAATAACCGCGTTTAAATAACTGTTTTGTCGAAATGTAAGACTGCGTTTGGCGAAGTTACAGACTAAATTGTTTTAACCAAATGCTACCATTTTCGAATCTCCCTTCAACCATTTTGTATCTCGTAACTTACAAGTGTTTGGTTTGGTCGAATTTGTCTCTTAGGATTTTCAAATTGATCTACGTGTTTGGAGCAGAAAATGTATGTCCTTAGTTTTATTATTATACATCCGGGTCAAATCATATTTTATAATATTTTTGTATAATATTAACACAATTGAGAACCATTGCCTGAAACATTTTTTATAATAAAAATACATGTATATCCGTCTGTCTGATATTTTTGGGCTAGCTGTTGAGATGACTCCAGGATAATTATTATTCTGCAATAAATAAACGAATTTCTCTATCCAAACAACAATAAAGCCATTTAGTATTTGTTAGTTTACATCTCATGAAATAACAATTGCATTTCTAGAATTACATTGTAAGTTTCTTAGCTTAAAATAACTAATGTGTTTTGTGCCCAATTATCCAGTCGATGGACACACTATGTGTGTTAAAGCTGTAAGTTGCTATCTGGTTGCTCGCGTCTTAAATACGGGTTGCTTGACACGATGACAAGGAGCATGTTTTATGGACTTCTGGGCGTCCTTAGGTCATGCTATTCTATTTGACCTGATACCCCCAGATATTGTATTTAATTTCGGTGAGGGTATAACTACGTGTGAGTTATTCTTGTTCCACATGCGCCAAAGATAATACTCCCCAGGTGATCGAAGGTCCTCCAAAACACCACAATGGTTCGGACAGTTAGTCTGGAGTGCTGTCAAATAAATAGTCAAATATAAATTGACCACTACTTGAATCTGCAATTGAAAAAAACTTTCTGGGCACTATAGATCATTCCGCCATGACTTAACGTGTGAACATGCCATGTGAGTGAAAGTAGTAAATCGTTTACGCCTTGTACATCCAAAAGTCCGATGATTTATTTTATAGTTATAGAAACATGTCTGAAGAGTGTGTGATAATCTAACGTTTTTTTAACGTTTATATTTTAAGCAAATAAATGTAGGATTTCCAATGAACTTTGCCTGGGTACTTAATATTTTGTGTTTTATAAGACTGATATATTGGCTCTCCTCTGTTTGTTTTCAAATATTTACACGAAATATTTTGGATTAAATTTTGGTAGTGAGTTATTTCAAATCCACGTAGTTTAGACTTGCAATATTATTATTCATGCAAGTGGTTGCAAGCATTACCCATGGAGTCTACAACGATTTGTAATTTATTACTTGAAATTAAATGTATTATAAAATATATGTTGTTGCAAGGACTACTCTTATAGAGACTACCACGATTAGTCATTTGTTACTTTAAAAATAGTGGTAAGCTATTTGAAATTTATGCTATTTAGACATACATCTTTTAGGAGTAAACTTGTATACATTATTTACAGTGTTATTAAATGTACGTGGTTGCAAGTACTACCCTTGGAAACTACCACGATTAGTCATTTCAAAGTTGAGCCGGCGATTAATCCTTTAATGAGATAATAACTAACCACCAAATCGGCGGCTGTTTAACATTATATTTCAAATCAAATGACGGGGATAAGATGCGGTTTCGTCTCGACAACATTCATCACTCCATTAATCCTGTACAATCCTTCTCAACGTCTGGTAGTCCAGGCATCCATTTACATGAAACCATCGAGTCATTAAGGGCCAACTATTTACTCTCTTTTTTGACAATATCCTGGTCACTCATATTTTGACCTCTTTCTAAGAGGTTAACAACAGTAAAGCCTGCACATTAGTAATACTGGACAAAGATTGATAAAGGTGTTCTGCCCACTAAAGTGACGTGAATAATTCTCTCAGGGGTGTAAGTTTTGATCCACTTTTGTGAAGAGTTCTAGTTTCAGAATCGCTAATCTCTTAAAATGTTTAAATGTTATGAATTGATCTTGGTAACTTCTGTAGTCCATAATTATACTTTAATAACGCTATCTATATACGTTAACAGGATTAAAATGCCACCCTGTAAAATGTATATTCCCTTTTTAACATACAAAACTAGTTTCAATACCACAAAAAAAAAAAAAAAAAAAATGACGCTTTAGAAACGATTTGTTTGAATCGTTTATAATGTACACGTATATATAAGTAATAAAATACCGTCAAATTTCTGAATATATAAAAATTGTATTTATTTCTTCTTCTATTTCTAATCTTTGTACAAGTTCCTACTACTGACAGTCCTGATTATGCGGAAATCTACAATGCCAGATGTGCCTTTTTTAGTTAATTTATCAAAAAATATGATATTAGGATAAATAAAGTTACGTTAAAATTTCTTCTTACTGCGTGCTGCTTTTTTATATTTCAGAATTCATGACAAATAGTAGTTGTTAGGTAATTTTAAGGGTCGTATAAACCATCGTTCTTCAACGATTGTAAATTTCTTAATTTTTACGCTTAATTACATATTAATAAATATATATTTATTTCAGATATCTGGTAAAAATATAAAGTCGTTATTATCAATTTGTTTCTTCCTTTTGTTAAAGAGGGTAACAAGGTCGCGGCCGATCCATACAGTTTTCATACTTATATCACAGTATGATTTAAAGGGATGAGTTTCTCGGCGTTATTTCTTGTCTCAGTAACACAGTGAATAAAGTACTGTTTTAGTGGGAACAAATTCCATTTAATAATTTGAAAAATGCATAAAATTCAAAAGTTGGGAAAATATCTTTATCTCGAAATTACAGTTGGGAAATCAAAACTTAAAAAGACTGGGTTCTTTAAGTTCAAAATGCCAAATAGATTGTTCTTGGCATATAAAATGTATGCACCTAAATTCAACGAATGTAGGTATAACATTGATTACAAATCGATACAAAACGTAGGAGACAAACACTCTTTACTGATATATGGCGGGGCTCAATGCCCTTTAACGAAGTAAGGGGTCTGATTCAGATATGTTGATCTTACACAAATGCCGTGAGTTTAAGTACTGAGACACCGATTGAATCTTAGTAAAATTAAATGGTTTCAAACAGAACCGAGTTTTTTAGCCAGACCAAATAGCACAGGGCCTTGTTATCGACTTAAAACTTTAAAGAAAACACAAGTCGAGAGAACATCTAGGAATTGTTGATCTTTGAAATCGTTTTCTATATTACTGATCGTAAAACTAACCATTAAACAAAGCGTTAGCTACAATAAAACACGAATTACTAGGAATGTGAATGTCCCAAATAAATGAGAAGTGATACGAGGTGTTTCAGAAAGAGTACCACGACTAGTTCTTAACTGGGCAACATTTTGAACTAGCAGGCACCCTTTGGGAAATTATCACAGGCATCTATTTTAAAGTATTTTCCGACCCTCCACCCCCTCACAGCAAAATGACAAAGTAATAGCAACACAATTATTTGATTAAAATTAATAGATTTTTTTATTCCTCTTATTTTCGTAGACTTTTTATCTTGAAACATCGTAAGACAATTATGTGCTGCAAAAAAGACATTGACTATAGCTACTGACAACTATGACACACACAGACATAAAAACGTTTGACTCAGTTTACCCTGATATAAGTATAATTTCTCTCGTTTTATGGGAATTTCATAATAATATAATAATAATAATATCTATATTAACAATTAAATATTCAATCAACTTATTCCTAATTTAATTATCTATGTCATAAATTAAGTATTCATTCCTATGGACATTAAATTATAATGATAATTCATTCTGATAAGAAAACAAAATTATAGTCAATTCTGCCATTCATATCTACTGTGTAATACTGTAAAAAGGAAGATAATACTAAAATTGTATTTTGGTTAAAGACAAAACAAATAAATTTAATATAAATAGCCATTTGTCTTAAATTTTATTTCAAGAGACAATCTTACTAATATCCAAGGATAAAACTTAATAATTTCTTAATTTAATAAAAGTTTACTAATATCTTACATTATCATTGTGTAAATGTCCAGCTACAATTCTAAATTATAAACTCTTTGTTTGGTGTTAATGTTTAGAATCTCTTCAAAATCGACCTGAACATGTGTAAGGCTTTCATTTGTAAACTTACACTAATCGTAAATGCCATTTATTTCGAAAAAATTATATGAAATGAGCACAAAATCTGGTCTACATATAACGTAATCGCAGTTGTAAGCATACCATTCCTAACATGTATATTCCAAGATGTTATTCCAATTCGATTATCTTAGCTTTGAAAATTAGAATATTTGATAAGATGTGAGAAATAAAATAAAAAAATGCTGATATTGCAAACAAATGGAAAAACACCTCCATGATATGTTTATAAATCTTGAAAGGAATAAAGAAATATACAGGCAGTCACATTGAATTGTGGCATAAATACATAAAAACAAAATGACTATTTACATATCGAATAATTAATTAAATCTTACATGATAAATGACTAACACAAATTAAATTGAAACTTCCTGAATTAACGGCACCACCTTGGAAGCGAAGAATGTCTTTGGCTCATAATATGAAAAATGTCATAAATATCTCAGGGGAACTATATTTAAACTCTATACACAATTCCGGATTCCGGAATTATGAATACACATTAATTCAAATCCTATATAACAATAATCGGATTTTGAAATCGGATTTGCGCACCTAAAATTAGTATTCTCTCATGGGATATGCACAAATCCGGATTTGCGTATTTGTTAGAAATCTATTAACGATTTCTGTTAGCCATTCTCGGGGTAAATTTGAATTTTCGTATACGTTTGAAAATCAAATTAAATTAACGTAAATTTTTATAGAAGGAAAAAATAATATCAACAATATATGCTCCATATGGGTGTTTCATATAATAATGTCTTTAAGTACCGTACACAGTTTTACCCTTTTATTAATCGTTTCTGCCTCAACAACGCACCCTTGCTAGTTTAATTCACCAAATAATCTCCCGTGTCCTAATACATGGAATTGTATACACACACAGCCATGACGTAGAGCACAAACCGCCATTGCACGTGGGCCTAGTTCACAGTAACGAAAGGTCACAAATTGTGGTAACTTGACTAAATTTTAAAATCTTTAATTTTTTTTATGTTAAGTTCACTGTAACGATAATTTATGTTCTTCAGCAGCTTTTTCAAGCGCATTCGCCAGGTTCATGTTTTTAGCTATATGTGAAAGTTTATGATCTTTTTTCCATTTCATACGACGATTCTGGAACCATATTTTAATTTGACGTTCCGTTAAGTTCAGCGCATGCGCAATCTCTATACGCCGCCGTCTGGTGAGGTATTTGTTATAGTGGAATTCCTTCTCGAGTTCAAGGGTTTGATGACGTGTATATGAGGTTCTTGATCGTTTGGAGTCACCATCGTTACCATCTGAAACATATAAAAAAACAAATCAATGATCAGGTAAAAGATGAGACATGAAGAATACAAAAGCTACTTGTAGCGATATGGCCGCCGTCACACCACCTTTCATTGGCACATAAGACTAAATTAATAGTCTTTGATTATGTACTTTTGACAAAACTATTTTCAAAAAGAAAAGCGTCTTAGTAAATCCCAAAAATTTCAAAAGAAAGGTACATGTACACCCTTCAGATAAACGGAGCGATAGTTTTGGCCCGTGTTTAAGGCATTGCGTGGAAGGTAATCCTGGGAACCTGGCTACGAGCAGTAAGTAGTCCAGCAATCTGAAAGAGTGTTATCAACAAAACCATAACTGCTGTTTGAAACGGATGGAAGAATGACCTTTCAAAAGTTAAAACTCATTTATCAATATATTGTAGTTTTATTTTAAAATTATTTTAAATGTACAAGATGAGACACATAAGGCAAATTGTGCGGTCGATTATCTTCGATCACTAAAAGCGACAGGTAAGTGTTCTTTTATCTCAAATAATCTCGGCTCAGACATAAACTCGTACTAGTTTTATCATGTTCTACAAATCCAACATAATCAAAGATTTTATAACATAACTATGTATGTCGTGATTTTGGCCATTACAGGGTACCACAAAAAAAGACACCAGCGAGATACCGTGAAGAATTTATAAAAATAGTACCCAAAGATTCACTCACAGACAATGTGGCGGCAACCTTTGATGTATATAATGAGCGGCACCATTAAAGGTAATTTCTCACGAGCTCACGTGGACATTGATTTATTTTCTTTTAAGTGATTCCTTGTTTTCTCTTTCTCGTCTTCTCATTGCATTGTTCCAGGAATGAGCAATATTTCGTAAAAAAAATATTCCATTAGAAATTAACTCATTTAATTAACTTTAGAAAGTGCCTTTCTTTTAAAAGATTAGTATCAGATCTCTTAAAATATTCATTATTTTGTTCCAAATGGAAATCTGTTGATTTTAATTACATTTATTGTAAAGTCATTGCCAGAATTTTTAGCATTAGTTTCATACAAAACATTTCTCAGAACTGTATAAAAAAATAAAAAACATTATCATTTTATGTTCTTTTTGTTTTAATACATAATTTCGCACAACTACGTCAAAAACAATGATGTCAGTTGAAGAAGGCTTGAATTATATGTAGGGGATGTGGTAGCACACTGTACATTTAGCGCGCCACTTCATGACGATTTTGTAGGTACGGGATTAAATTGTAATGTGAGCATCCTTTAAATCTTATAAACAATATACATCATAACAAAATGTACTTTTATACAATCATTAATATCAGTGAAGGAAAATAACAGAGAGGGAGAGAGGAGAGAGAGAGTGAGGGGGGATGGGGGCAGAAAATTTTGTCATTTTATTAAGAAAGAAGACGACAGTTCAAAGAATAGACATTACTACTGTTAAACTAATCAGTAAATCAAATTAAACAACGAAATTACACACAATGCCATTCATTAAATAGCAAAAATGAAACCTGGCGTAAAATTACAAATTTCCTTTTCAAGAAAACTGTGTTTTATCGCCATACTGGGTTTAATTCTGCAGAAGAAAACGTGTATTTTGACGAGGATGCTGCTCGCCTCTTTAATCATGACTAAACTAATCGCAAAGCGCGGCACAGACCCCATACACAGATAAGACCTCGACCAGAGTTCCTCAACCAAACAAGCATCCGACCAATCAAATTTATTCTCCAGTCTGGGAAATCAGGTTGTTACGCGCGCGTGACAAAATATTTTCCTCGCTTCGAATCCTCCAATGGGGCAGCGCTTCAAGTAACAAAGAAAAACCATTTATATCTGCCTAAACTCTGTTCCCTTCCCTTTCGTTTTGCAATATTTTAAAGTCATCTTTGACAAGGGTCAATTTAGCCCTCTCTCCCTACTGTTCTACTAGTCTCAGGGGATACACGACATTTCCATTCGTCACTGAGAGATTTAATTACCACGTTGGCGCTCTCCGAGGCTAATTTTCTAAGATTTATTTTAAATTTCAACTTTTTTAATCTAAGGCAAGCAAACGGCGCCGACAGGTCCGCAGATCAATACGCTAACTTTTACTGATTAGACGCTGGTTAGAAAATTACTTGCATTACGTATTCCCTCTAATGTGACTATAGTATAACTGGATGTTCGATTTTTTTCTAGAAAGCCAGTCGGTAAATTCCGTCTGAGCGTTATAAAAGAGGTAACGGGTTAAATGTACACATTATCGTCTATAAACGATTTAAAATAGGAAGGTAATGATACAAGCACGTGGAATATATAATGCGAGAAACGACCAAATGATTTATTAGCCCGAATTTCACGGCGACAATGAAGTCAAATAATAACATGCACATTTTGTAAATTTATCAATTGAACCAAAATTTGGCCTATAGAATAAATTATCGCATTAAGTTTGATTGTACACGTGTATGTCTAAAGTACTGATTCCATTTCAATTATTTGCTACTTTCACACTTCAATTTAGCAAATGCAAAAAATGCTACGGAGTCTGCTTAAAAATCTGCAACAAAACTCCGAAAGCATGCCAATTAAAGACATAAATTATCCTACAAATTATATCATAGTATATTAAAAACCTAATTCTTAATTTTATGATAATTCGCAACATTAGTTTGTTTTCATATTGGCCACAAATATTATTCAAAATAAGGTTTAGCAATTTTGAATTCATTTAAGTTTTGTTAAAGTTATCGCCAATATATCACTAACAATTTCGAGAACCCTGTAGCTCTACAGATATTGAGCTTCATGTAGAAATGTATATGTATTCTTTTAGGTATTTGACAACAGAATGTGTCAAATACTATATTTGTTCGAGCAACAGAATGCCAGATACTGTATTTATTACGAAATGTATATGTATTCTTTTAGGTTTTTAGCAACAGAATATGTCAAGATTTTATTTATTCAAATAAAGTAGCTTTCTAATTTCCAGGCAACCAAAGCAAATACGGGAAGCGAAGTCAACGATTATGAGTGATTGTATGAGTTTGTTTCGCATAAAATATCTAATGAGCGAGGAAATCAGGCGAACACAGAACATGATATAAATATTGACAGGTGTTGTTCAAAATTTCAAAATCAATGACAAAACAGAATTATGTTTATAGAAATTGACTATGGTGGTCGACAGCTTGGCCACACATCGACTCCCACTTAGCTTCACTTCATCTTAATAAGAAATACTTTCTTTTCACAATCCAAATTTTGTTACTGAATATAGTCATGTGTCGATAGATTTAAAGGCGTACAAGGAAAGGGTAATTGGAAATCGAAAATGTTTCCAAGAACTCATTTTGAATTTGCATCCATGCACACTAAAATCGAAATTACCCAAAGAGAAATCGTGCAATTTATGGATCTCAGGATAAGAAAATTGGACAGATACGAAAGTTGCCTGATATACTTCTTTATTGAGCAGGTGAACAACAAATAATTAATCAACCCTGTAGTTTCAAAATTCAATAAAAATACTACTCCCTAGACTTTTGTAAATAAAGAGAATTTTGCTTAAGTATGTTCCTCTTCACAATCTTAGAATTTATCTTCCATCCCAATAGTATTTTATACATCACGTCCCAATTCTAAAATAATACACCCTGTCCAATCTTGGAATTATGCATCCCGTACCAATCCTTTAACAATGTATCCAGTCCCAATCCTGTAACTACGCACCAGATATACCAATATTAAAATGATGCATTTCCTCCCAATTCTGAAATTATACACCCCATCCAATCCAGAAATAGTACATCCCACCCGAATCTTATATATCCTGTACCATTCCCGATTATGCTTTACGACTCATTCCTGAAATTATACATTCTGTCCCAATCCTACAATCATAATTATATCCCATTTCAATTCTGAAATTATACCTCCAAAATTAAGATGATAGCTTTTTGAAATTGAATAATGTTTTAATTATACAAAATCATTTAGATTCATACGTTTATCAGACTATCACCTTAAAGAAATTTCAATAAACTACAGCAGATCTTCCATTTATCTTCACGAATTAGAACCGCAAAGGTAGATTATAATACTAAGTGTGACAGAATCTACCTATTATGTACTCAAGATTCACTTAACAAGTCTCCGACTTGAATTAACTTTAATAAAGCCCGGTGGCTGTCAAATTACCGTTAAAAGGAGTAGCTTTGATAAATATGCAAAAATAATCGATATTATTAACTGTCTGATGACCTAATATATATTAATTCATTACATAAAATCCTTTTTAATTTAGAGCATGGTGTGTGTCTCAATACAGAGTATTATAGAGTTTAAAAACTTAGTTGATATTAAAGAAAAGATTTGACGCCATTGGCATCAATTTGTCCAAAACCAAAGATGGTCGTGTTAAGATTCGGTTGCCAAAATTATGTATGCTTATTAATAAATCAAACTCGGTGGTTTAATTCAAGGATGATTGGCGGTAATTTGAGTCGATAAGTTCATGAAAATGGGCCAATTGTCGACAATTCTATTCAACGGCTGGGCGTCCATCGTCGCGTATACTCACTGGGTGTCTACTTTTAATTTCTCGACCGTTGAACCTCTTCTGATACAAAGTGAAAATAAAGGATTTTCTCCGAACAGATCAACTTTCCATCTTCGTGTTGTGGCGTCTATTGTGGTTATGTCCAAAACCAGGATTCGAGTTGGACATGAGTTTCGATTTTATGATTGATGTTCCGGCTGTCTAGCCTCAAACCACTATTCAATGCAACATTGTTTTTATAATCTCCCGAGAGTCGTTAACTCGTCCGCTTAAATGATGCCTCTTATTTGGGGCTTAGTTAAGAATAAAATATGTATGACTTGTCGGATTTCGATGTGATAGGAGTCTAGTTGTTGCGTTGGGCAATCCACCCAATGTAATTACCACATCGATAAAGAGCACCTATCGATTCACAGTTCAGACTCATTTTTTTCACATGCTTAA